TAATAAAATATTTTATCTACATAATAAGCCATGTTCTCTTACGTTGACTTTCTTCTCAGAGCAAGTCAAGTATTTCAAAATATAAAATAAAAGAGTATATAACTACAACTTCAAACTTTTACGACAATTATATTAATAGAATGGAAGTAGGCAATCTTACCAATTATAGCTGCTATTATGAAAAGAAACTAATGATACATTCAAAGCTAAACTAGGTTCCAAATTTTAAATTAAGTAGTAGACGCTTATCAGATTTAGGCCTCTTAATTGCTATTTTATTTCAAACGATTATGATTAGGTTCTTGTTGACTAACCGCGTACCACCGGTTTTAATTTCTTTCTGATGAAATCGTTGCAAGCCTAAAGTCAGAGAGAATCGTTACTACATGTTGTGAATGCACGTGATTCTCGTTCAGAAATACACACGCGAGGGTGCATTATGCAAATGATCCGATGATTCAAGATCCAGTAAAATTTCGTAAACTCCGTTTTATTTTTATTTTCTGTTCATTGACACACTAATTATCGAATCAGTACTTATAATAATTTTCTCTTTTCGATTCAGATTTAAATTATTTTTCCCTATTCGAGTCTCGTGCAAGTCATAGTTAAATATAATTTATTCAATATATTATTAATTATACACTCTTTTTTCGAATAGAACATACAATTAACTAAAATGTGAAAATATTTTATGAAATGAAGATATTCTATTTACATAATTAATAGTTCAAAATTTGTTTGCGTTTCCTTTAGAAATTGATAGTTATGAAGATAAAAGCTTTTGTAATAAACGTTTTGAAGTTATATGATTTCCCAGAACCTTATTATAAACATTTTTAAGAAAAGTTTCCAAAGATAACAATTATCTTTATAAGGAAAACTTTCTTCAACAGGAACTTTCTTCAACGAAACAAATATTCTGATATGATTTTTAATAATACGATAGATTACTGTTTAATCTTTAGTTTTAAGAGTCCATTATGAAGTATATCATTCATACGACAGAAAGACGTTCAACCTAATTGTATTTGTTCAAAGAATGATTAACTTATCGTTCGTGCGTACGAATGTCACATTGAGCAATATCGTAATTAAAATTGATAAATGGAATTGATAAGAACTTGCTGAAATGAGAATTACAATCCCGTGTTAATTTATCTATTGTCTTGCATATGTATTAATAAGTAATAGATATTTCAATTGTATACCAGCATTATATATTTCTTACCGATTTAATGGTTTTTTCTAGTAACGGACACACAAATTTAAACATTAAAAAGAACATTAGAAAATCTGGACTTGTTTTAAAAGATAGATAAGAGAGTTTCCCGAACGCAAAGTCTATTTAGTCTTCATTTAATAGTATTTATTTAATAAGTTAATTGCTGGATACTTGTAAAGTGTTCCGCTTCTTCTGTAGACAAATTTAAAAAAGTCATGCACAATTGTTATCATTTTTTAACAACTTTATACAAACAAGGAAAAGAAATATTGAAATTGTTCAAAAGTAACAATATTTGTGATAACAGGATAAAAAACTTGTAAAAAAATGAAACACCATGCATAAATTACAGCACCATAGGCTGTAGGTTTCGCTGCTGCGTAGCTACGGCACTGCCGAGGCGATGACCGCGTGGTGGCATGACATCGTGCACGCGACACCGGTTGATATTTTCTCGATTTGTCTGAATCGAACATTGTTTCTACGCGACTATTAGACAGTTTCCTCTTCAAAAATGTCTCTAGAATTCGATGCTGTGCAGTAAATTCTTGCTAGACGAAGAACATTTCGTAAAATTACGAAAATATCGGGTAAAAAATGCGCGCTACAACTATTTCTGAAATTTGATAGATATTTACAGCCACTTGAAACAAAATCAATTAAAAACGGAATATATCGGTGTGTTCGGAAAACTCTCCTCCACCTTTTAGCACAATTCCGAACTTTCTAATGTTTTTGGTTTTTACGTAACGCCTCTTTTTACCAAAAATAGGGCTATTTTACAAAAATTTATGTTTTCGAAAATTGACGGTGATAGATTCTGCTTTCGGATTTGTCTTTTGGACATTACGTTACAAGGTCCGTGCAGATCAAATTCTTGTTAGTCACTGTTATCGTTATAACAAACTCGAAATACATGTACAATAAAAAGGACTAAATTTATATTTTTTATTATTTGCAGGACTTTTTCTAAACGTATATCTACAGTTTCTAGAATGTGGACAAAAGAAGTTTAATGTTCAGTTCATTCGTTGCAACACGGGGCAATTGCAACTTGGTATTTCGTTTTTAATGATCCATGAAGTTGCTGCGAACGCGCATTAACTAACACCAATGATTACGTAACCGGCTCAAACAGTGAATGGAATTGGTGCGAGAAATAATTTCTGTCGAGTAGTTTTCTGAATGTTACACATTTAGATATAGTTATATTAGATAGTTATATTTAATTATTTAGATATTTATACCATAGTTTAATCTAATCTTTATTACTTTCCAAGAATTTTGGACACTGTCAAAGAATTATTGTATTCCAAAATGTTACTTTGTAAAACGACTGTATATTTTAACAGAAGTGTAATTAGCAAATGCAGAGATTTATAAATTTCAATGAAAATTAAATTTCTGTGATAATAGAGATTAAGTTACATCTGAATCTTGAAGAAACGCAAAACAATGAAAAATGTTTTAAATACAAATTGATGATTAAAATCATCAAGATATAAATATTTTATATTTATATTGTATATCAATGTGTGCTTTTATTAGTATGACCTCTTCTCTTATTATAAACATTAATGTAGTGTAATTATGAACATTAATATCAGATATTTATGACACGTTCTATCTGCTAAAAGTATTATATTTTTATTCTCGTTTATGAATGTTTATTGAAACTTGTAATTGTTTAACACGTTCATTAACAACACTTTTGCATTGACGGTCTTCATTGTTAAAATGTATGATTAACTGCGGAAGTCATGGACTTCCTCATTATTGTGCAATGTATTATGACTTTACATACCAAAGTTCATAAAACTAATTTAATCATTCTCATGTGAAGTACGTGATCGTGAATATTATATGTGTATGATGCTAGTAGCTATCGTGTGTTAATTATTATGTCTAAAATTAAGGAAGTATTCAAATTACTATAGCCATTTATCAAACTCATTATTTATTTTTGTTATTATTAATAAAATTAAAATGAGTCCTTTTGAAAATCATAATTTTGTTTGGATTAACTTGAGACATAAAGAGAATAATTTTTTAAAGATATTTCTGATACACATTCGTTAATATGTATGTCATGTATGTGTACTTTCTACATAGCCTCCAACAAAATAATCATCATAATTTGTCGTAATGTAATCTGTCATTACGAAACATTTTTCTTGGAAATATGTATTTATCTTATCATTAATTTACGGTAAATAAAACGATTTCTTTATTAAAAATAATATTCTGTAATTAATGTGTGACCCATGGAAGTCCGCGAAATAATTAAACATTTTATGGGACGTTTATATCCAAAACTATCAACTAAACAAGATCTAGAGTAATAGATAGAAAGTTGTAAAATAAATTACGTAGAACGAACTCATCAAATAATGAGTAGCTTGTTATTAAAGATAAAGAACGATAGTCTCCTGACAGAGGATTATGGAACCATTAGTATTCTCCGTTCGGATGTATTTATTGCTATCTTCCCCTAGTCGATGTGCGATGAAAAATTAACATACGCACAATTCCCAATGCTGCACTTTCTACTACAATTGGCAGTATCGCTAAATGTATGATAGAAAGTGTGAGAAAATAAGCAATAAACTTTGAATTACCGCCTCTCCGCTCTAAATGAGACGATAATCAGAGTTATTTATGGTGATATTATTGTTACCTATTTCAGTCAGCAGATGTAGAATACGAAATTGAAGAATCGATTCTCGTAGTGGAATCGAAGTACAATTAACTGCATATCTATAAATTGTTTATTCATTCAAAGAACCTCGACATTATAGTAAACATATGTTTATTAATATGCATTGGTTACAAAGAGTAACAAAATCATAAAATCTTTTCAACAAATCTTTATGTAAATTTAAGTTCCAAAATAATTTGTTTCTTATGTACAAGTGTAAGTAGATACAAATCATGATATTCTCATAATCGAAAACTAATGATAATCAGTTTATCATCCCTTATCGAAAATTTATTTCCTCCCATAATTAAGTATTCAACACTTTCCTCTTCTCAATTTATCTCAAGCAGTTAAATTATTCAAAGCTATTAGTATCTGTTGCAGATAAGGAGAGAGTTGACGAAATTACGTAGCTCCCTTATCTAAAAGTCCAAAAGAATTGGAGAAACATCGAAAAATGGATACGTATATGGAAACGATTGCGGGTGATCAAGATATCATTTGGAGGGTGTATGGGAAGAGGAGAGAGAATCCTAAATGTAAAATATTAGCTTTTAGTGTAATTCTCAAGATATTCACAAAAAACTTTTGATGCTATACATTGAAAGTAGGGTATACCGACGTTACTGACACATTGAATGACGCCTATCGAGACGTTACTAATCATGTTATTTTCGTTAGTAGTTTCGACTACCGCATCGCGTCGCCTATCATCTCAAGTCCAGCAGTTGATAAAGTAAGAGCGCCACCGGTTTCAATATCTAAAGGATGTGCAAACACTTGGTCTGGATTAGAAGTGTGTTAGTTTTCTCTTCGAGCGAGCGAGCAGCTTTCACTCATTCAACAGTTTTTATATTACATTTTCAAATTTGGTAGCAAGTGCACTTGGTCTGCGTTAACTCTGAGTTAATTTATTCTTCGAGCGAGCGAAGCAAGCAAGCAACTTCGACGATTCTTACATTCAACGGTTTTCCCGTTACATTTTCAAATTTGCTGGTAAGTGCCCTTGGTCGAGGTTGGTTTATTTTTCGAGCGAGCGAAGCGATCGATCCACTCTAACGATTCTCACCCTGAACAATATTAAATGTTTCTGAAATACCTGAAATCAAGCTTTCTGTTTTGTATAAAGAAGATACCTTTTTCAGAAGTTCACCCGTTATAGTGACCGCAAAAGTGGGGGGCCTCTGCTGATATACGCGCCGCCGTGGACACGTTGGTATTTATTGGAATTTATTGTAGTAGTAGTATATAGTTTAGAGTTTTCATTGATATCTTGAAAACTACTACATGCCCGAAGTTAATATTTTATATTTGGGATATTTGCTCCTCCCTCCTATTCTCCCCGCCCCTCCAAACGCCATTTCGATCGGCGGAAGATCTTTTCCGAAAGTTTACCCACGATGGCTGCAACTCCTGTAATTATTTCTACGAAAAACGCGTATATTTGAATTGTTAATTGATTCAAATATTTGTGAAGAAATAGAAATGTTATCGGTAACAGTGCTCAGTCGTAAAAAAGAGTAGAAATAATATTGGAGTTGGCAAATCATCATTTCATGTTATTCAAACTGAAATACCGACGACGCTGAAATTAGTGGTTCCTCGCGCCCTCTGTGATACTATATCACAGACAAGGTCCTATCTTTAGCAAACGTCAGAGTCGTATCTCTAATAAATTGGAATTGTTATAAATATTAAGAAGCCAGAAATAATAAATTTGTTAATGAAACGAGTTCGATCTAATAACGCATCCATCGATTTGTGCAATTAAAATCGACTTTCAATCTGAAGAAAGAAGTGCGGGCCATGGCTAGCCTTTTTTTCCATGAGTCGTAAACGAGTAGCGGATTCCGCTTGTCTCAAGGAAAAATTATTATTGTTGTATTCTTTGCGCCAACTCGAGGTCGCCCGCTACCCTAATTAACTCGGCGCGGCGATAATCCGTCGCGCGGATTTCGAAAACATAATATGAAGGGCAGACTTTAGTTATGAGTCTTCCTGTCAATGGAGTAAGGCAAGGGGATTGCGGGTCTAAAGTCATTTGCTCGACAGCATCGGGACACGAAGGTTGGGACTACGATATTTTCGGTCGCTCTCACCCTAACTTTTCGAACTCTCAGTGTTCGGAAGATTTTATTCTTGAGGTACTTTATCATCGAAATATTTAGTCGGTATATTTGGTCGTTGGGGTATTTAGTTATTTGTCTATTCGGTCATTTGGGATAATCGGTCATTTGAATATTCGGTCATTTGAATATATATATATATATATATTCGGTCATATGAATATTCGGTCATTTGAATATTCTGTCATTGGGATACTCAGTCGCAAATTTAATCGAATTTCTTGCTATTGTTACAGATCTGGAAATTATGTGGATAGATTGCGAGGATGGCTGAGATCGAGAGTCAACGGGTCAAGCTTCGTCAAGAGAGGAGGAAGGGATGTAAGTATAATCTTCGTCAATATACAAACTATATGGAATAGTTTGCAGAAATGAATAATATATTTATTCATATTATGTTCGTATTTTAATATCTCTGTGCTCTTCTTTCTGTTCCAAGACTCTAACGCAGCTCTCTTCTCCCATCAAGTAGTGAGTGAACATTCAAAATTTTTATTACGTAGAAATTGTAGAACATTTTGACGAGTACAATGATCAAAGGATTGCCCGACAATCCTTTGAGTGGTAATCTGTTTCCTAGTTAGACAGGGTCTTTCTGCACATCGCGATTTCCTGCGATAGTTTCAAGTTACAATAATTTTATTTCGAAGCTACCGAAAAATTAATCTTTTACATCACGTGATTATCATAACACGGATGTTACAAAAATTATATTGGTGCATTTATATATAAATTATATATATAAATATAATTATATATATATACCGGGTGTTCCACAATTATTTTAACAGCCGAAAATGAGGGGTAGCTGAGGCCATTTGAAGTAACTTTTTCCTTTGCGAAAATGCAATCTGCGGCTTTGTTTACGTGTTATTAACGGAAAACACTGACCAATGAGAGGTGACGGCGCGAAGTTCGAGAGCCCGCAGCACGAGGCTTTAACAGATGGTCGGGACGGACTCGAGCCGCGTTCGAAGTATTGAACAAATCACGGAAAACGCTGTTCACCTTTACTTTAGAACGTCTGAAGAATATTTACTAATTTTTCGGACCCGAAATAGTAAATAATTTAACCGTGACGGCCGTTTTAATTTTCTAGTGTGCATGACACCTTGTGTGTAACATATGAAATTTTTAAGTAAGGTGTACAGTGAGGATTAACAAAGTACGTAAATGATATTTTAATTTAAATAATTCCGTGTGGAAACCGGGGTGGTTTCCAAGGGGCTGGGGACAGTCCCTGTCGCTAGGTTATCTCGAAAATATAGCGTTGTGAGAACTCTTCTACGCGTTGTCTTAGCGTCGCGAAAATTGCCAACGCGTTGTGTTGGAGTTGTGAAATAAATGAATTATAACGGTATAATGGTAATAAAGATATATAACGAAGATTTTTAGGATTTCAAAAGAGCTTCTTTCAGACATATAACATAATTTGTAAAAGTAAATTTTTAGAAAGGTATTAATACTCATCCCATCGATAGTGTGTTAAGTCTGTTTCAGATTGTTTAGCAAACGAAAAGGAAACGGCGACGATGGAAGGGTGTCACCAACTTAACTGAAGGTCTTGTTACATTTTCATCGAGTGAGTCATCCAGGGATGACGCGTAATTAAACATGTAGGATTACTTATTATAGCGTTATTTATTAAGATGCTATTTATTAAGGCATTATTTATTATGACGTTAATTATTAAGGCGTTATTTATTAAGACGTTATTTATTAAGGCGTTATTTACTAAAGCGTTATTTATTAAGGCATTAGTTAGTAAGTAAAACTTTTCGTTGTGAGAAAGGGAGCCATAACGAATTCTCACTTCGTTCTGACCCTCTTTCGGGTCTTCAGTCACAGCAACCTCCACGTGGCGAGACTCGGGAAATCGATGTAATTTTCGATTTCCAATTAATTATAAATCGAGAAAAACCTCGATCTTTGTATGACAGATTCGAAATCGACAATTACATCGAGCTAATGGCTGTGAAGCCAGGCTGGGGGAAAATAGATCTTTTAAATAGTAAATAGACTATATAAACAATTTTATCTTCTCATGTAATACAGAATTTGGCAAATAAACTTTTTTTGAAATAGTAGTTATACATATGGAAATAGCATTTCAAATATATTTAAATACGTAATATCCATATGCAACTAATATTTCAAGAAGAGGTTACTTGCCAAATTCTGTATTACATGAGAAGATAAAAATATTTATAGTTTATTTGTCTATTTACTATTTCAAAAATCTATTTTTCTTCATCCCTGTTGAGAGAGAGAGAAGTAAACGGTTTAAATGCGAAAAATGATGTAAAATTATATATCTTGACTTCGCAAATGAAATTTCGATATTTATAAGATAATATTTTTGTTATAATCATAGATATGATATCGGTTGTGTAAACTTTTCTGTATTTTCAGTTACATATTTCGCCTTGATAATTCGACAAGCCGGAAGAAGTCTCGAATTTTGCCAGATAGTATCTATTGTTATGTTGCGAATATAATTTCGGTTTTCCAGATAGGTAGCTTACAAAAAGAAACCTAAATTATTTTTGCAATAACTTAATATCACAGTCTTAGAATCTTACACAGTCTTAGTAAAATTAGCGTTGTGAATACCCATTTGCAAGAAAAAATGTATGCAACTATTACTATATGTAATTAGTAAAAATAATTGTTCAACTATCCATCAAAATAACTGCACTTTATATCGTATTTGTTACATGTTTCATAAATACTATTTCCAACGTTTATATGTCGCGTTGCATACATTTATTGCCTCCAAATAAAATTCAGCATTCGTAGTAGAAATGATATATACAGGATATTCGCTTCTTGCTAACGTGCCTATTTTTCGCGAACTATCGGTAACGCTGAGTGCGAACGAAATGGTAAGGGGGGCTCTAGAGCCCTCCAAAACTGAGACAGAAAAGCCCGTAAGATGCATTTGTCTGCACGGATCCAAGTTTGTGCCACAGCATTTTCTACAGAGTCGGTAATTCAGACCCTGAGCAGAAAAAATCAGTGCCTGCACTGTCTGTACGTACCCTAAATCTCTCATGGCTACTCTTATACCTCGTCTGCGAAAATACATTAGACATTAGATGTATCGTTATATCTGAGTTCAAAGATTTTGATTGTTTATTTAGTAACGATGAATAAAGAGCTTTAGACTAGTATAAATCTATAAGCTATAAATGTTAAGAATATCAAACTAAAATAAAATCTCTGGAGCTTAAAATTATTCAATTATATCTAAACATATATATGTGCATACGTTTATGAATGCAAGATGATGCCTGAGTACAGGCAGACTTAATTTTGTAGAAAAATACATTTTAGACTGATTTATTTCTGCTTGTAGAATTTCTAAGCACGTAATTTGCTAAAGCATATTATTTCAATGCTGATGACTTTTATACAGATTTAACAATAAAAATATAATAATTTAAAGAAGTAAAATCATGGTATTCTAGACTTGCTCAACATTACAAAATCTCATACTAACTGATGGACGTATATGTTTTTGATAGATCAATATTTAATATTCAACAATTAATTAATATATTTTAAATTGAACGCGTCTATGTAAACCTAATAGATATCTCTGCGGATAAAGTCGTTTTAAACATCTCGTGTGTGGTGCCACCATTCGGTTCGCATTAAAATTATAGCAGTAATTTTCAACGTACAATTAATTTTCGATTCAAATGTTTTTGTATATTTTACTTGCTACTATTATTTATGATGGATGCTATTTCCAGTTGATATTTTTGAAAAACGATAAAAAAATTATGATACATTTTATTATACGAAATAATTATCATCTAATTTTAGAAATTTGATTTCATATTCTCTAGTGTACGTACTTGTTTATTTTTCGGAAAGAGATTTATATCTTTATTGGCTTTTGCAAAATGTTGGCCAAGAGAGATTTCTTATCTGCGATGAATGATTTGTGTTACTGCGACATTCGATACGATTGTACTGATAAAAGACATAATTCATTCATTAATTGCAATTTAGAATAGTAATATAAACCATCGCCATGTTAATAATATTTCAATGCAACATCTAATTAAGTTTTGCAACATCGTTGCAAATCTTCAACCAATTCACCATCACGATTGTAATAATTGTAAACGCAATTGCAAGATCCCTCGAAAACATCAACCATTAACACGAACAGAAAATGAATTAAATTAGAACAATTAATGTTGTAGCAGTTTCTAGCAATATTAAAATTAAATTCTAAAATTGTGATGTCAAATTCTTATTGTATTCAAGATTAGATAATTAATTTCTACATTAAATTAATTTTATTCTAAATTTGGGTCAGCTGGACTTTTGGACTACGAATGTATCCGTCAGTTCGTAGAATATTCCAATCTCTGGATTCGCGAACGAAAGAAAAGAATCAATTAATTTATTTATTACTAAGAAATTATTGAGTGGCGGGTGACAGATAGCGTGACATGAGTCGTTTGTATCGAAGAAAGAATTGTATTTCCTGGGGAGCGTGGTAACCGCGTAATCATTGTTATCAGGACTATTTCTGTTTGGGTGGAGGCTCGTGGAAAGTCTCCTCAGGGTTTACACGGTTGTAATTGAAGAACTAGCATGCAGTGTTCTCCGCGACATTAACTGATTACCTCAGACGAACGAAATCTGTCAATGAAAAATGTTGCCGTGAAGTATGTTGATATCGAAACACGTCAACGTTTCTCTAGACATGGTGCACCATCGAATTATTCAAATATAAAGGATTTGAAATTGGTCGTTTTTACATCATTTCTCAATTTTTCTTATCTAGCTGACATTCGTGGAACGCTCTTTACGTGGAACAAGTGACAATCGATCAAAATGAGCAAGAGTAAGTAGAAAAGAAAACATTTTCGTGACTATTAAAAAATTTTATATGGAAAATTTATATTACTCGTTGTATCAAATAATCTGATCTTTAATTAGATCACGCGTTAATTTCGTATGAACTGGAAGATTTAAATGCTTTGATAATATCATGTTTGTAGATACTATATCGAAAGGGATTTATAAACACTGGCGAAACGTTATCGTGCATAGAAAATATAAATGTATCGTATAGTTTCAACACATGATGTATTTTTGCTCGTGTTATGTAAATATCGAGTTCCGAAAGGTGAATACTTCAAGTCGAAGATTTCTTTTGATATTATATGAAAGTTTGAGTTTCTCATAGTAAACTTTAACACTGGTACGGAGAAATCTTTGGCTGCTGAATAACTTCCTTCACGATACATGAAGTTTTCCTGCACTTTCACAGAAGTAACACTTGTTATATTACTTTTCAGTCAATTACGCTTGTTTATTATTCTGGTGATTGGTTATGAAGTATGGATTTAATGTTACATTTCAATGATTCGATTTAAATTTAAATTTCATTACTCGAAGTGGTCAGGCTATTTGTTAGATAAATTTTTAGAAACCTATACGTGTTTATGACGTCATTGATAAAGTATCGTTTCAATTCAAATTAATGTTCTTAGTTCAATTTGTTTACATCGTTTTTATTTTATATATTAGATTTATTCGAATACTTCTTTACACAAGGTATTTAAGTAGAAGATTTAAAGAATGTTTATGACAATATGATATAATAGTGTGCACTTCTGTGCATTTCTATCGATACAGTTTAATAGCATGCAATTTAGATATAGAATAGCAATTTTTATCTTTAACTTCATTTTATTATAAC